GGTAACATAAATGTCCTGGAAGCAAAGCCAGTTGTTCACAGTGGCCACCCTGACCTCGAAGTAGCTGGTCCCTCTCTCCCAAGATTTTTTTTCTCCATTTACCCTCCTTTATTTTCGTGCCCAAATTTTCATATCTCAGAAACTCCATCCATCTATCTCTATTTATCTGCAAGTCTGCTTGTTGACAAGTCTGGCAAAATACCAACATTGTGTCATTTCATCCTTGCAGTCACTCTGACTTTGGGGGTTTATCACGCTTTCCTGGAAAAACAAACCAAAAACCTTCATTATAGATAACTCCAGCTACCTCTCAATCTTGCACCATGCATCTTAGTGTTTAGAAGATTTTAAATCCAGGCAGACTAGTCTCACTCCACTAAGTATCAAATTGAAAAGAACTCTAAATTCTGACTTGGTATCCTACATTTTCTTACTCCATTTTCTTGTGTTCTTGAGAGTTACTATTTAAAAATTTTCTCACTCTTTTTAAATATCCAGAAGTATTTCTGAATAGCCCTGAACAACTTATCTTCTCTTCTGGAGAGATAGATGACTTCGGTATAAACAAGAATTCACTTGAATCACTGCCCCAAGACTAGTAAACTTACCAGCATCCAGTCATCCTTTCCTTAAAGAAGGGATGCTCCGATTCTTCCACGTTTGCTTCAGATGCGTCCAGGTTCAGGTGACCTTCTGAGGGGCTTCACGATACATGACTCCACTCTCTTATGGCCTTCAGGGATTGAACTTCATATGATCAATTTATGTGTTTCATTACAGATACAATACACAAGATGCTATCCCAGATAGTGGCTGTATTATGACATATCTAATAGCTACTAGAAAATAATATTTTTTAAAAAATTTTATGTTTCAAGATTTGGGGTTAAAGGCCAATCTATGCTGCAACACTAGCAGAGTGAGTTGTTTTAGAAACCCTTAAGAGCCAGCGGCTCCAGCGAAGAGGCACTCTTGGTTCCCATCATGGAAAGATGATTACAGATGGCTAAGCAGGAGCAGCAGCTGCATAGGATCTACATGAAATAGCTCAAACAAAATGATGACAAAGTAGTATGTGCTCAGGGAAGGAGTAGAAGATGAGGGATTGGCAAGAGAATGAGCTAATCAGTAGCCAGAGGTCAAGCCGCATTCTACATGACTGTAGAATGTCATGTGAAGTTTGCTGTGCTGCAGACGGCTCCATGGAGACCTGGGAGGTTATTAGACTGAGAGGGTGGTGTGATGTACATCCCAGCTGCCAGGCCCAGACTTCCTGCTACCCTGACTTTATTCAGACACTTTATTTCACTTTCAAAAGTGTCCCACTTCAAAAGAAGTCCTAAACATTCTCCCAAATGATAGCACTATATGTTGATTTTGAAAAGAAATATTTTAGCAGGAAAAAAGTATATGTAGGCTCAGAGATTTCCACAAGGCTGTTTCCTGACATGAGAACTTAGGAAACCAAACATCATCTTAGAAGCAGTGGCAAAAGTGGATTATTAAAAAAAACAAACAAAAACCTTGGTGAGAAGAATGTGCAGTGTTCTTCAGGCATGAACCTCAGGCGTTTACAGAAACTGAAAACTACTTGCTTCCTTCCCCTGACCCACACTGTCCTTCAGTTTCCTTATACATTGGCTTTTGGCTCCAATTTGTTAGAAAATAATCTCTTAAATTAGTTAATTGAGCTGATTTATCTGGAGTGTAAATAGTAAGTAGAGCTGAAAATAACATGCAGTGTACAGAGCTGTGTTGGTCTATGTCACTATAATAGAATACTGCAGACTGGGTAATTTACAAGGAAAGAACCTAGTTCTCACAGTTCTGAAGGCTGGAGCACCCAACCTCAGCATGGAGACCACTGGTGAGGAGCTTCACATTGCGTATTTCCATAAACAATAAGAGGTACAGCAGAGCAACAGAACAAGAGGAGGCAGTGGGACTCACTTGTGTCACCTGCGTTCCCCTGTATGAGAACCATTAATCCATTCAGGAAAGAAGTCCCTCAGGAATGAATCATGTCTTACTAGATCTCAGTTTCGCACAGGGTTTCATAGAGAATGAGGTTTCTAATATGTAAACTTTATCAGGCGCATTCAAAGCGGACATAGAAGCCATAATTAGGTTTATTTACCCATCTTTAAACCATAGCTAATAACCAAGAAGTGTGTTTGTTTTATATTTTTCTCGTTTCATCAGATGCTAAGCAATTAAAGTAAACTAAAATTTAAAATATGATCATGCCATTTTCATCAACAGAATACAAATGGAAAACATTGAATGGTTGCCTTAGTAAACAATGGTAAAATATTAACGTCTATGTCACATAATTTCAAAATTAAGTTTTTATTCTTATAATTAAGTAGCAATAAAAACTTGGAAATGTTTCAGTTTCTGAATGGATTTCCATTAGCTACAAATTGTATTTTGCTAATCAAGAAGATGTGAATTAAAACAAGGTATTATTTCTCTATTAGATCAGCAAAATTAAAGTACAACTGTATTTTCTGAAATTGTAGGAACTGGTAAATTGATATAATGTTTTGTTATAGCAACTTTGGGACTCATTTTGAAAATATCTAGTAAAACTAAATATGTGTGCAACCTGTTACTCACCACTTCTATTTCAAGATATTTACCTTAGAAACACATTTAGAAATATATGCATGAAGAAAAAGTACAAGGAAACTCACTGTAGTACATTGTAGTGTTGTGGTCCTAATCTAAATATCCACCATGAGGATTTACTACGTAACATTAATTATTAACATGAAGTTAGACTTCACATGTTGTTGAGTGAAAAATAAATCAAATTGAAGGGGAAAATGTGTAGTAAGTGGTTTAGGTAAGAAAAGAGTATAATATAATTGTATGTGCTTTATGGGTTTTGTTTATTTTAAGGATTGAACCTATGCCCAGCCTTTGTATTTTTTATGTTTTAAAATTTTGAAAGAGAATCTTTTTAAAGTGTTCCCTAGGCTGGGCTTGAATTTATGATCCTCCTGCCTCAGCCTCTCAGTGCCAAAATTATAAGTGTGCCTGGCCATGCCAAACCTGTTCATGATTTAATAGGAGATACTTTGGTTTCTTAGAGTAAGGGTTGACCAGACATACCTAATGGTAACAGTGGTCATTTCTAGAGAGCACTGGAACTATATTTAAAGTGATAGTTAAAGGAAATTAGATAATTTTTATTTGTTTATTAAGGTTTACATAAAAGAATATGCCAGATTGGAGGTTGACAACAAAAATTTACTGCCTGACAAGGCCTGGAGAATAGGGGTTAGGATCAATACTGCATTATTCTGAGCTACTGTCCTTGGTCATTACATGACTATCATTCTCTGGGACTATGATTGTACCTTAACCTTTTCTTAGAAAAGACATCGGTTTCATTGAACCAGAGCCAACATACATGACCTCATTTAACCTTCAGTACTGACTTAGAGTCTTGATGTCTGAATACAATCACAATCGGCATGTTAGGACTTCAAGATAAGAATGTGTTCTGGGGTAGGGAGAATAATTCCTCCCATAACTTTGTAACATTTTTATTTAAAGTAAACACAGTTTGGATTTCATGTTGAGGCTAAGAAACAGTTATAAAAGAAAACTATAAAGTTGGTGAAATCAATTTAGTCTTCCATACTTTGAGAATACTATAACATCAAAGCACTAACCTTGATTTCTTTGAGAGGTGAAAATGGCAAGTTTTATTTATAAGTTTTATTTATAAGTATATTTTATTTATACTTGTTTTATTAGGTTTTATTATTGAGCACAGTCTTAGATTTATAGAAAAATTAGTAAGAGAATACATACCTCATATTCAGTTTCTCCTAATATGTATATCATATGTTAGTATGGTACATTTGTTATATTTCACCAACTAATATTGTTACATTATGAATTAAATGGTTCATATTTTCATAGTTTCTACCTTTTTCTATTCCAAGATCCCATCCACAATGTTACCTTGCATTTTTTCATAATGTCTCCTTAGCTGTTTCTTGGCTATATCAGTTTCTTAAACTTTCTGTGTCTGTGTGTGATGACTTTGATAATTTTGAGTACTCTTTAGATGTTCTGTAAGATGCCTTCTCTTGGAACTTTTCTCATATCTGCTAAGGGAATAAATCTCAGGGGCCACCTCATTTTGTAAAACTTCTCTCAAAGTCAATAATCCAATCCCCACAGAGTGGAAACTCAGGCCTTTAGCAGTGCTATTCAGAGGAGCTCTACCCCAATACCCAGATGCATCAAAGTAGATCTTATCTCCCCACACTGCTGCAATGAGGCCTTAAGGCTCCAACACAGGAACTTTGGAAGACCACTGAAGTCAGAGTAAGGCCTCTTCCTGGTTCATAGAGGCAACTTCCTGTATCCTCATATTATAATGGTGAGAATTGCTGCGGCCCTCAAGATCCTGGCCTTTGGGTTGCCTCTCCAGAGGCTCACCTTCCTAATACAATCACTAGGGTTAGAATTTTGACATGTGAATCTTAGGGGGAAACAAGTATTAAGACCACAGTAAAATTTATTAACTGAGAAATTAAAAATTAGGAGACATAAAGTTATTAAAAATAACTGTGGACTTAGAATAACTAATAACAAATCACATCAGAATTAGTCACGTCATTCTCATTCTGCAGAAAGCAGTTAACACACGTGTTTAAAATGATTTCTATTTCTGGCCTAGAGAATGAGATGGTTCATCTTTAGATCAAAGGTGGAGCCACCAGAATTCGTGTTGTATATTAGTTGGAGTTTACTTCACAGTTTCATGGCTGTCAGCCTTTAGTGACAAAGACTTGACTCCCTTGTGTAACTTGGAGATATGACGCCCATGTCATGTGATTCCTGTACGCAATTAAAAAGTTTTCCTGGGGTGAAACTTTTCAAAGATCTTCTATTATCTCAATTATCTCACCATTTCTGCCCCTTCGTGGTCAACACTGACGGGTATTTCTCTTGCATTCTCTGTAATTGTCTTCCAGATATTTCAGTCAGCCTGTTAGCAGTCGTCGTCAGCTTCTGTGGCCTGGCCTTGTTGGTTGTCTCACTTTTTGTCTTCTGGAAGTTGTGCTGGCCATGCTGGAAAAGCAAGCCCATCACTCCAAATATCAGCACCCTCCCACAGAGTACTTCAAGTGCTCCCACAGAGGTTTTCGAGACTGAAGAGAAAAAAGAGGTTAAAGAAAATGGAAAGCCAACACTAAAAGCTATTGAGCCTGCAATAAAAATTAGCCACACTTCTCCTGATATCCCAGCAGAAGTCCAAACTGCTTTAAAAGAACATTTAATTAAACATGCGCGTGTGCAGAGACAAACTACTGAACCTACTTCTTCATCCCGGTAAGGAAGAACCCAGTCCATTAAACTATCTGTGTGCATGTGTGTGAGTGTGCTTGCATGTGTGGTGTGTGAATTCACAAGAGCAGAGGACTAAGGTGGGAAGACAGAAAAGAAAAACCAGAGCAATGCGGAAAACATGGAAAACACACAATTTAATAAAGAAAGGAAGGGTAGGGCAGAGCAACTGAGGACTGCAGATGAGAACAGTTCTGGGAAAGGAACTTTGGTAGACTTCTGTAAAATCATGTCACATAGATTATTTAACTTTTCCCTGGAAATATCCTTGCTTGATAATTCCCAATGGTAGTCTATAGATTTAGTTTAATCAGCCAATAAATATTGAAAAAAAAAACTATCCAGCACAACAACCAGAAACTAGCAGTTTACAATCACTACAAACATACTACACTCATGATGAGTGTACAATTATTTAGCACCTATCCTGTAATACAAATTAGCTGGACTATTTCATTGCTCATTTGAGGTCATGTAAACCAAACTATTGTCCTGGGCAGTTCTGCTAGAACCTAAATATTCTGAGCACGCCAGAAAGGTACCCATAAGACAAGAAGGGTTCCTTAAGGAAATACTTCCTAACCAAACCTGGAGAAGACAGCAAAAGTCTGTTTGAATAAAGATAATTTTCCACAACATACTCAAATTGTATTAACTGTAAGGATAAAAACACTGCCGAACAGACATTTTTTTCTGCTATCTGTAGTTATCAAGGGAGGTAACTGCCATTTCTAGCTTATTAAATTACTTCCTAATGCTGCCCCTCTACACTGGGGGTATGTCTGTGCTTTTTGACAAAACATACTTTTGTGGGTTTAGAAATCTATCCAACTGAACAACTGAATTATGTTTGCTGTCAGGACTGAAAGACTGTTCAACATATCTTATATGTAAATAAAGTGAGATTAGGTTTTATAAATAAATCACCTGTATCTGAAATGTAGTCTCAAGAGATAAGAACAGTTGTTACTTACTATTGAAATGAGGAATTTTTCAATAAGAAAAGATGGATAGAGGTGTCTTATCTATGCTATACTGCTGCTTACATTTTACATCCAAGGCATGTTTCCTGTTTAGTTATTTTGAGAAGATTTTCTGAATAGTGGCATTTAGGATCATTTAAATCTCATACTTTTTCTAGCTCTTGTTTAATATAATCCAGCAAATGTAAATTTTAACTATGTATAAATAACATATCAAATAAACTACTTTTCTTTACATGTTCTAGAAATGAGGGCAAAAAGCTTTCGGAAGAACTTTGTTTTTAACAATTTTGCTTCTGTTTAAAGTGATCTTGCATGATTCCTTGATTATTAATATTATTATTCCTGAAAAGTAGGGCCCAGTATGATATTTAATTTGGAAGAGGCCTTAAGATGCTCAAAAATTTTAGTGTAAAAAACTTCAATTAAACTACAAAACTCTTCCAAAATACAGTTGTCCTCCTAATTCTTTTTTATTATTATTATTATTTAAAGAAAGACAAAACAAAATAGAAAATGGGCAAAAATAGTACATACTTTCAAAGAAAAGAAATAAACAGTAATAAATGACTAGTTGATGTATACAGATGGTCCCCCACAAATAGTTGTTCAAGATACAAAAGTGGAACATATAAATGGGAATTCAACCAGGAAGACTGAAAACGGTTCTGTTCAACTATCCAACAAAAACTAAGTAATATGGCTATCAGTCCTACACACTAAGACATGTACACCTTTATCCCTATCTTCATTTATGTTGAGACCTAACAAAACTTACTAGATTAAAATCCTTCTGAACAAAGATTAACAATATTACTGGATTTCACATCATAACACTCTGGAATCAGCACTGGGTACTTCAGTGCCCCGTTCTCCTTCAAAGTATTTGTTCATTTCATCATTTGTCATAAGATCAGTTCTCATAAACTGTTTATAGGTTTTACGCAAGCATGAGTCTTAACATGTATTGCTATCCTTTCTATATTCGAGGGAGAAACAGAGCAAATCAGGACAGAGCTAAACATATTCCTATAGACACATAAAACTAAAAAGACATACAAAACTGCTGTATAAGGAGTTCTACATGGTCACTGTGCTGTTTTTTGTTATGATCAACAGAATTGGCTATATCATCAGATAAAGTATAATTGAACATATCAGTATATAACAGAATTAACAGAAATACAACTTTGTAGATAATGTAGAGCTACAAAGGATGCATATCATGGTGCATCATTATCATTTTCAGTATGGTTGTCTATACTCCTCAACTTGATACCAGCAACCTAACAGTTTGAATAAAATCTGTCAATAATAAGCAGCAATCAAACAAGTCAGATTTAACTAAGATCAGTCATGACACAACAGTATAAGTCATACAGGGATCCTGATTGAGTTAATAGGAAATTAAAGGTGACCACTGTGCTATGTCCTGATATCTTCAGGACAGCTGTCTGTGCCCTCAGATCCAGTACTTGTATACAAACTAGGACGGAACAAGTTCCAACCAAGCAGAGTGGTGCGAGTAATAAGGGTTTTAACTCCTGTTACACTATTAGCTATATCTTCTGCTGTTTTTTTCTTTGAAGACTATTCCTCCCCTTTACTCCCCCAGAATGAACTGTGTATTTTTGGGTCTCCCCAACACTCACAGTTTTATATTGGGGGGGCAACCTGCTATTTACCTAAGTGTTTCCGAAGTTTCTCACTCCTGGGCTGGGTTTCTAGTTATATTTCTTCATTTATTAAAGCCTGTCTGTTCAACCTATCCATAAATACTGGTCCAGTTACCCCTATTACTCTCTGGTTCCCTATCACATCGAGTTCCGTTTTCTCATATTTGGTTTTGGTCCATATAACCTTCTTCAGGCTAATTATATTTCCTATAAAGAGCCTCTCAGTGAACCCTACCTCTTGATCCACTCTGCCTGCGATTCTCTCTTTTTTCCCTTACGTTAGTATATCTAGGCCATCTATATTAGAAATTCTATCCAACCTTCCTTGCCTCATTTCTGTTGTGCTCTTCTTCTGTCATTAATCTGTTTGTCTTCTTCATTTTGTTTTCTGCTCCATTCATTGTGGCCTCTCTGCCACAGTTTCTGGAGTCCTGGCACTTTTCTCTCTCTTTAGAATGTCCTGAAGTATCTTCTCTAGAGTTGGATTGGTAGTTGCAAATTTCCCTAGTTCCTCTTTATCTTGGAAGCACCTTATTTCTCCATTAATTTCTAGGAACAACTGTGCAGGATATATCAATCCTGGCTGGAGGTTATTGTCTTTCAAGGCTTGGATTATTTCACCCTGCACTCTTTGAGATTTGATGGTTTGTGCCGAGAAGTCTGCTGTGATTCTGATGGGTGTTCCCTTCTAAGTGATCTGTTTCTTGTCTCTGACAGCTTTTAATATTCTGTTCTTATATTGGATTTCTGGAATCTTGATTCTTATATGCCTGGGTATAGTTCTGTTTTGATTGTAGGTGGCTGGAGTTCTATATGCCTCATACATCTGAGCATCTTTTCCTTTTCCTATGTTTGGGAAGTTTTCCTTAACTATTTCTGTGAATAGCCTTTGCAGTTCCTTTGTTTGTACCCCTGCTTCTTCATTCACATCCTTTATTCTTAAGTTATAGATCCTCTTATCATCTTCTAGCCTTTGTATTGTTACTGCTTATTTCTTTGTTATTTTTAAGAAGTTTTTCATTTCATGCTCCCACATTACAAATCTGTCCTCCAGTTCAGATAATCTATCCTTAGTTTCTTTCAAGCTGTTATGCCAGCTTTCAATAGAGTTTGTAGTTTCCTGTAATCTCTTTGAACCTGCTTCATGTATTCTATGTTTTCTCTATTTTCTCCATCAAACAATTCTCCCCCACTTTTTTTTTGTTCTTCCATTCTACCATCTGTTTTTTCTTGGGAGGTGTTTAGCATTTCTTTTATTATTCTATTTATATCTTGATTTACTTGTTTAAATACTTCACATTTGAACTCGTCTGTGAGGTCCCGAAGATATCGCTTTATGTCTATTGGTTCTGTGCTTGATATTGCATGTTTTCTGTTCTCATTCTCCTTTGCATTTACCTTTCCTGGATCAGTGTTCTCAGGATTGATGACTGAGGACCCTTTCTCGCGGCCTCCTCTTCTCATATTTTTTGTTCCTTCTATACAGGCATATATAGGAGGCCCAGTTTCTTTCTTTGTCTGTTTCAGTTTGTCTGAAGTGCACTGACTAGGTGGTCCCACCCACTGCAGAGTACTAGAAGGTACAGACCCGGGCACCCTATGTTGGGCCTGGCCCTCCAGGTCAACCTACTGAAGGCTTCACTGTGTTAGAGTGCACTGTCAGGCGCAGGGACTTGGTTTGGGCTAGCCTGTTGGGCCTCAGTCTGTGGCATCACCCAGGTCAAATCCCCCCACCAATCCTGCTTGAGAGGGGAGTATGTGACTGAAGTCACTGAAGCGCCCTTTTCTGGCCAGTTAGCCTGGTCCCAGAATGTCCTCTATTGAAGCCTTTTAGTCTATGGAAGGGTCTTTATTCCTCTCATTCACCACAGGTCGATGCAGGGTTCTCCGCCAGCTCTGCCCTCAATTTGGTTCGCCAATTCCCCCTCTCAGAGCATTCGTGTCTCCAATGAGTTGAAACTAGCAGGCTATCCCGGCTGTGCCAATTCAGGCATGGCAATGGCAACAAGTTCAATCTGTGAATTCAAGCAGCAGTATCAAGACTTTAGCTGTTCCAATCATAGCACCAGGACTGCATTTCCAATTGGTTTCTCTCAGCTTAGTTTGTTCCTGGGTCGGCAGGGTATAACTCCCTCTGCTTGGGACTCCCCACACTGCACCATTCCTGGAATCTAAGCTAGCTATCTCAAAGAGCCTCTGTAGCTGCTGTTATCTATCCCCCATCTTTGTCCTCCTAATTCTTTTGAGAGGCCTTCTAAGACCCTCAGCGAAAGCTCAATAAATATTGCATTTTTTTCTTATGCATATGAACCTATAACATCAGTTG